TACTATAGCTATTAAGTCAGTCCTCTTGTGATTAACATTTGATTGATGCAGGTTCTGACACAAACTTGACCCCTGGTGACTTCTTTGACACACCCATGTACTTTTCTTGGCAACAATTCAGCAATGCCTTCTTCCCTCCAGATAGTTTTTCAACTTTCCAGTCCAACTGACAATTCTTGCATTTCCCTGGTAGCGTCCTATCCAATGAATAGCCAGGCCTGACAAGGTTAGCTCAGGGCTGCCACCTGCAGAGACGTACCCATCATTCACGAATCCTATATAGGAGTTGGATCTACCTTTCATTAACATCTGGTTCAGATGGTGTCTATTAAGACTGAGGCATCGATAAATCATACAATACTTTACCTATGCTAAATGTTTGAGAGGAAAGAATATTCATCTGCTTTCTCAAGTAGGGCAAATAAATTTATATACTGTACCTAAAGCAGTGTTTTCTCAACCTTGGCAACTTGAAGATGTGTGGACTTCATCCACGCTTCCTAAGTGCGGACCTTAGGGAGTTGAGGAATTCTGGGAGTTGAAGTCCACACATCTTAGGCTGCCAAGGTTGAGAAACAGCGATCTAGAGGATTGCAGAAGCCGAAGTAGATAATGAAATACCTCATCAAAATCAGCAATGATCTCATTCAGGAGCCGAAGACATTCCAGCCCTTCCTTGTTGACATCGCACTCTGTGTAGAATACCTTGAAGTCAGGGACCGAGGCAAACATGACACAGACGCAGTCATAAGACTGATGATACCAGTCCTGAGGGACATGCAGTAATAGGTTCATAGTATCATTAACTGAACTGCTTTCAACTTAATGCTCTACCCCCTTCCCTGTTAACTAAGGCAACAGTGATACACAACGTTCCTCTCTATTTAGTCCACTGAAATTGTACTAATCAAAAATTAGGTCCTGCACTGTGTTAGCTATACAAGGGAACTTGTCACACCAAGTTGCAGTAAGGGGTGTTACTCTTCCATTGTGTCAGACAGGCAGCCAATATTTCTTCCAATATTTCTTTCTTTTACCACTTCCCCAATCTTTTGTCACCCGAGTATATATAATACTCAATGAGCTTGATAATTAGCTCCCTAAAGGTTTATTATTATTAATATTATTCCTACAAACCTTGGAGTTCTCCATGGTGATGATGAATTTTATTTATGTACCATTTCTCTCAAAACAGCCCTAAATGGCTAAGGATCCACAGTGTGGATGGGATGAGACTTCAATAACTCTGTAGCGATCTACTCGGTTTTGGTTTAGCATGCTATGTGAATCCAGGCCCTGTGGCTTGTGAACCATGGCTTATGACTTACTGTAACGTGTCCACATATTCATGGTGACTTAATCAAGAAGCCAGGCTGAATGTGTTGTATGAACCAGCCACTGGGAGTGGGTTTTCTACTAATATCTAGGATTCTATCACTTTCTTCTTATACTGTTTGAGGATAACTTCAGTGAATGACTTCTTCAAGATCAATCAAGTGAACAAGCTACCTTCAACCAAACATCTGCTATGTAACATTATGGTTAACTCTTCTGTACCTCATTTAATTTGTCCCCAATAAAATGGGCAGCCACGTGAGCTGGGAGGACATTTTCAAGCAATAGCCTGTTTACATTCTCCATGGTTTCAAACGACTCATTTTCCTTTTTAAATTTGTTTTTCTGTAGGCAGTCCAGCCGACAATAATAGTCTACCTGCAAACAAACAAGGAGTCAAGTTATTATATTTTCTTAAAAAATAAAAACCCAAATTATTTATTTCCAGGATTTTTCTGCACTCAAGCCTACCTAAATCACTGTTTACTCTTTTTCCTGAATTTTTTGGTGTTGTAGATGGACCATTTGCATTATTTATTTTCATATAAAAGGCTCAAATCTGTATAGACACATCCCACGTATGGAGATTTGTGTTCAGATCACAGCAATCATAGCCACTTCACATGCACCCAGCTCAAACGAGTAAAACTATTAATAAGGATAATATCAAATGATTGCTAAATCAATATGGGGAGCCCAGAGCAATGCCTTGGGACAAACAGTTAAGAGCAGTTTAAAATAGAAATGTGCCTCTTAGGAGAAAATTAGACTATAATGAATGCTTCACCTGTGTACCAAAATGCTGGGATTTGTTCTGGTTTTGTGTACATCACTACACAAGGATAATATAGGATTTCCACAACTAGGGAGCGGATGTATCGAATGCACTAGTTACATCTCCCATCTGAAAGCAACGTTCTTGGGAGAAAGGAATCGGTTCATTCAATATCATCCATTCTCACACCCTCACGGTGCAAAGAGGTTTACTCTTGTCTTCTCCTGACATAGTTTTTGAGCATTAATGGTTGTGCATTAAGAAAATAATGACAAAAGTCAACTGCAGCATGTTCTATCAACAATGATTTGGAAGGGAGGTACGGTAACTTTCACTTCCAAGAGAGGACCTGCTCCTAGGTGGAAGGTGTATTTGAATCAACATCATATTTTGTTGAGTTGTCCATCACACCGTATGTGAATTAATATCACCACTCCTTAATATAGCTATTCTATGGAAGAAAATGCATTCTTATTAGCAGATTTCTGAGCATTTCAGAATGCTCAGAAAAGGCCACCAAATATTGTTCCATCACGATGGCTGTAAGAAAAGTTTGGAATATAAATAGATTATTTTCCATGTTATAAGGAAGCTTTTCATCTTTTGGTTTTTATTACATACATTGTTGTTGGATGTATTGTCTGAACATTTGTTCTATGAATAAATAATGACAGTGACAAATGTAAAGAATAACAACAACGACAACTGATAGGATGAATAGTTCTTGGTGTTGTGATCAACTTCCCCAGCTCCTGGGTTGGAAATCTGGGGAGACATCGAGACAACCCATACAGGGATCCATACCTGCTTGGACAACAGGACCAGAGTTATATAAAAGAGTGCCAGGTACAAATTGATCATCTCTCTGGGTTTGTTTATAAAAAGCCTGAAGCAGAAGATAAAAAATTAGAATAATTACATGAAATAAACATGTTTGTGCTTGAAAAGGTCCGAAGTTTCAAACTACAGAACGCATGAGAAACCAAAGTTGCTCATATATTGGCTGAAATGATCTTCCTCAGGAGAAACAGTGAAAGGACCTTCCAAATTCACCACTTATGGAGGAAGGAAGGGGCAAGAAATGTGAGTTCATCTCAAACTTGTTAGAACACACATTTCAGTGCTCCCCAGGGTGTTTGCAAAGCTCAAAATAAAGTGAGTAAATAGAAGAGAGACTAACGCCATTTACGACGGTGACATCACAGGAACAGTCCACTAAGCCTTGCAGCATTTTGGACCGCACATTCCAACAATATGCATCACTACAATATTTTCGGGGGGGAAATGGTATCTTAAAGTAGTCAGCATACTCCTGAATCAGCTGATCTTTTCCAGCATTATTTCATTATGTTTTTCACCCCATCCCACCCCAGCGCCTAGCAAAGGTACCATTGAAACACAAACCCTTTCTACCTGGTGGTAGAGTTGAAGTCGTAGTTCGGAGCCTGATTGCTGTTAAATATGATGAAATACCCCACGATGGCTCCCGAGAGCAGCATTAACTTGAGTTCAAAACTCATTCGAAGGAACACAGAGCATGCAATAAAACCCAGGAGACAGCAGTAGGCATAATACTGGTATAGAAGAAGAATTTAAGCAAGAGTTAGCAAATGCTTTTATATCAGACTGCTAGGAAATGGATTATTATTATTATTATTATTATTATTATTATTATTATTATTATTATTATTTTAAATATGGTGCATATAAATATATAAAAGCTTGGCTGCCTCATAACATAAAAACAATGATTTAGCATTGCATATTGAAATTGAACAATTTGAGCAAAGCAAAAGGCCGGCATAATTCCCCTGCACAATTGTGGAAAGAATTTAGTAGACACAAGCTTTACTCCTTGCAGAAACCGACGTTGTTGTTAGATAGCAAGAGAATGGTTTCAAGTGGGACTAGCTCAGATCCTAAACAAGGATGACTTGTTATTCCCTGACCTGCTGAAATTATACATTCATATATAATGCATACAAATAAGTAAATTAAACATGGGATCTAAAATATCACGGAGGTTACAGTTTTTCAATAAATCCTTAGTTACTACTAAAGTTATGACATTTGTTGCATCATTAAAGGAGAATCTAAAAGTCACCATTAAGCTATAAAGTAAAATACTGGGTTAACACAGTACAGGTAGTCCTCATTTAGCGACCACAATTGGGACTGGCAACTCACTCATTAAGCAAAGCAGTTGCTAAGTGGGAAATCATGTGACTGCAACTATGCTTACAATTTTACTTCAGCTTTCCTTTTTCCCCACTCCCCCACCCTTTGCAATGCTCACCCCGGCACTGGGATAATTAGCAAGAAGGGACTTGATGTTTGTATTACATTCATTGGAGAGGAAGGGATTACAAGAGAGGAAGCAGGCACACCATGGGGAATACACCAGCTGTTTGCCAAGTGCAGTGTTTGCCAAGTGCAGTCATGGCTGCTGGCGTCAGCGCATTCTTTTCAATGTGTATTCCCCTTGGGGTGCCTGCTTACTCTCTTATAATCCCTTCCTCTCCAATCTCTCTACTTTGCGAGGTGGGGAAGATAAAACGGGTCAGGCACAGGACAATGTGTACTGACTAATGGCGATCACGTGACTGAGGGATGCTGTGAAGATCATAAACATGCCCCTTGGTTGCAAAATTATTTTTTCAGCACCGTCGTAACTTCGAACAATCGCTCCATGAGGCAGTCTTACGAGTTCTACTTGTATAGACTTTATACATTCCCAACTGACTTTTGCCCATGTATACAGGGTTGGACCAAATCTTTATTTTTAAAATATTATATCCAACTTCACTCACCGGGTACATCATAGTCATACTAAGTGATCCATCTTCAACTCCTGAACTGTTTCCTGCCAGCTGTTTTTTGGGGGGTGGAGGGAGGACATAAACAATTATTTAGGTGATAAATTGGGCTTCACACGAGCAAAACCGTAGGGATAAACATTAACAGAAATATGCAAGAGGGCTGAAACATTCTTTAGTCCTGGGAAACAAAATAGTATTTGGGAGTGACTCAAGCAGACTCCTCCCTGATGTTCTGGGGTATAAGAAGGAGGGAGCCCAATCAGGCTTTCAAGATTCTATTATTATACCCTATTTCAATAAAGTATAGTTCTAGTCTTCCTGTGTAGTTGATTTTCTGGTCTGAACTACCCAGTGGGGCTGACAAAAAGAACTAAAGATGACCACCTAACCCAGTGTTTCTCAAGCTTGGCAACCTGAAGATGGGTGGACTTTGACTCCCAGAATTCCCCAGTCAGCCATGCTTGAAGTCCACCCATCTTCAAGTTGCCAAGCTTGAGAAAAACTGATTTAACTAAAAGCAATGCATATGTGACTAAGTTTTCAAAATAAGCATTTCAAAAGTGTTCAAAGTCACTTTAGTCATTTGTGTTCTAATTTTTAACCCACCTTTTAGCCAAGAGCTTTCACAGAATATAAATGCAACAAAACAAATGTCACATCCAAATAGAACAAGGTTCATTTGGAAATCTCCATCCTGTGATAAGCTTCTGTTTAAAAAAGGCCATTTGTGAGCAACAGCCACAAATCTATTCTAAAGAAAGGAGATGGAAAAGCTAGATAGCAGGGTAAAGTCAATGCAGCCTAGAATCAAAACATTATAGAATATTTTCACCCTGCGATAAGAAGCTATTGACAGCCAAGTCCCTTCTGCTATTAAGCCCAAGCAATTAATCTAGCCAATAAGATCAGCATTTTACTCACTGGGTTGTCATGTGGTCCACCTGGCGGGCTCACTGGCTAATTAAGACATTAAAAGCTGGTTAGGGAATGTGCTGGTGGAGATTCAAAACACATTCATTTATTACCAAAAGAGCAATGTGCAAGTTTTCAAAAAGAAGAGAGGGGGACTGAAGTGACAGAGAAATTCAATGAAATGGGAAAAAAGACTCCTTGATTAAGCAAGATTTAAAAACTGTTGTTTCAGACTGAAGTCCCAGCTTATCTGTGCCCAAATTACCATGCACCTGTCAGCCATATAAGGTAGAAGACTAAGACTAAGGCTAAGAAACAGACACCATGCAGACCAAAAACAACTTTTATTAGAATAGTTATACAATCTTGCAGGTCTGAATGTGCTTCCCTTCTTCCCTCTTTTAACTTCAGGAGAATGAAGAGGGGAACCTGTCTGAAGCTTTTTTGTGAATCACTTTCCTGGCCTGGGCTCAGGTTGCATTTGTCAGATTGTTGACTTGGTAGCAGATTTTCCTTCTCTCCTTCAAGGCCATTCCCTTTACTCACTACAGCATCACATCAGTCACTGCGCTTTGGTGAGCAGTGCTGAATATGTGTAGAGGGTAAAAAAGATGACCTTGATGGAGAGATGCAGGCTCTGTTGCCTAGGCAAAAGGGGCTGAAGCATTTTTTAAGTGCAGAACATCCGGATAACGTTCAGAAGCAGCTCAGACAGACACCTCCCTAATTCAGTGAACTATACGGAGAAGGAGGCGGCACAGCAGAATCAAACTTGCAAGATTCTGTTATTAGAGCCAATCCCCATAAAAGTAGTTTTAGCCTTCCTGTGAAGTTGATTTCCTGGTGTGGTCTACCTGATGGGGCTGACAAGATGTGCTCAGGGAAAGGTTTTGGCAAAGAGTGACTATGAGAGCAAAGGTGTTAGTCATCCTACAGAAGGAAAGCAATATTTAGGTCACTCCAACCATTTCTTGAAATCAAATCTCCTGCTGTAAAACAGCAGCCAACTTGATGCTTTTGAGAAGCCATCAGGATGTGGGAGCAAGGGCTCTCTTCTTTCAGCACTCAAGAATCTGGGCCTCAGATAAATACTTTTTCCAAATACCTGGGATCTATATATCTGTTATCTATTGGGCATTGCGCTCTCGGATCAGGTACAGTTGGTGCTGAGTCTTATAATCTCAAGATGTATCGTTCATCCAGGTTTGGGAGCTACTGATGCTGCTCCAAGGTTCTCAATGTTCTGTCCTGCCTTCCCAGGTCTATAGCTTTAATAATGCTTTTAAAGGTCCCATTGCACTGTTTCTTTTTAAAATTGAAACTATTTTTAAATTTGCTATTTTTAAGGATGTGCTTTTTAACCTTAATTGAACTATATCCCTGGTTTGGGGCAGTTAAGCTAATTAAAAAGTAGAAAATACATTTGATAAGTTAATACACTAAACAAAAAATCCAGAGGCTATTCCGACATCTATCCCAGAGATGGACAATCTGGGGTTGCATAAATGTTGCAACTTTTGGGGGTGCAATGAATGAAATCTTCAAAAATTGACGACACGTTTAAAATAGAAAAAACACATAATAATAATAACCTCATTCACTGTCAGATCCACCTTATCTCTTCAAAAGGAAAAAGTGCTTTCCTGGTCCCCAAGCCTGTCCGCCTTCACTGAAACTTTTCTTTTCCCAAAGACCTCTAAGTACTTTCCATATTGCAGCAACGGATTCCCCAAGTTAGGCACATGCTTCCTGCTTGATTGTATAAGGCCTTCCCATTGGCCATGATCACAGACACAACTGCCTGCTCCCCCACTAAGATTCAGCAGAAGGAATTACCAAGTTGAAAACAGCTAGGATCAGCAGAGAGCCAAGGCCAAGGATGGCCAGAGGGAGCCTGACGGATGGCATCGTCTCCACTTTCTCAGAAAGCGTGCAGAGGTAGCGTGTTAGTGGCCACCGCTTCGCGCAGCATCTCTGCCAACAAAGAACAAATGTTTCAAGATGGAAAATCCACCACCTGTAATAGAGTCGCTCGTGCAATGACATCACGGCATCATACATATTTGCAGTTCTTTAGATAATTAGAACCATTGGCACCGCACGGTTGAAATGAAGGGACTTGCACAAATCTTTTCTCCTATCATTGAAGGCAGTGGCCCAACAGGGCAGCAAACCGGCTACTTTCATGCTTTGCTTATTCGAAAAAGAGATTGTAGCAGTAACCACACAGGGTGGGTTTGAATAATGAAATGGGCTATGCACTGCTACCTATTCTGAAGACAAGCGAGAAGTCCAGGGCAGAACCCACAGACCACGTGAAGGAAATTCCACGTTGGTCCTTGGCATCTCCAGTTAAGAGCATCTTATCTCCCACAACTGAGGAGGAATCTTTCTGTTCCCAGCCATGCAGACAGCTGCTGCTATTCCTGTAGGCAACGGTAGGCTAAAAAGATCCAGGATCTAACTTGCAAGCTACATACTTCCATACTTTGTTTACGGGAAAAGAAGGTTGTAGCAGTAACCACATAGGGTGGGTTGGAATAATAGATGCATTGTCATCTAATCTGAAGGCAAGCGAGAAATGCAAAAGGCACCCAACACATCAATGGTCACCTAGGAAACAGCAATTCCCTCAGACTGCAGAAGGGACCAGGAATATTCCCACAGCTTTGTTTGGACGCCTCTTATCCCTCCTCTGTCACCTAATGAGCTTTGTGCTTCTATTCCAATTCCTACAATCCAGGACCACTGGCTTACTTTTTCTCCCTTCTCCCTCCCCTTCTTTCTTCCTTTTGGGAGGACCTTTTAGATTCCAAGCCAGAGAGACTCTCTTGTTTTATGAAGCCTGTCTGGGATCAAGACCAGTTTAAACCTAACAATAAAGAACCCACCCCCTTATAGCCATTACTTTACATATAAAAGATGACAAGAATTCTAGCCCCAGAACGAGACGACGAAGCACTTTGGGTTTGCACAAACGGGAGCCATACACGGTTCCATCTGCACATCTGAAAATCTCAGCTGAAAGTTCACCTTTCAATGATACACATCTTTTTAAAGACATTTTGTGGTCTTGAATGTTGGTTTCCCTTCTTTTTTTCCTTTGTTACTTACCCAACAATCATCTGCGAAACACACACCCAAAATCAGTCCCATGATGATAGCTACAACCCCAAATGAGATTCCTAATGTTTGTGACCTGAAAGAGAGAAAGGGGCGGGAAGGAGCAGGCAAAAGCAGATAAAGAATTCAGGAGTTGTAAATTCTCCAGAAAGGTCTGAATCTCTTCTACTGCAAGGCTACCTGTACAGTAGATGTGGAATTTGATTTTCAAAGTTAATTTAGGATCACATATTCCAAGTGCTTTTATTCTCTTAAGGGCTTATTAACTGTGCACGAAATATTAGATGCAATCACAGTCTTGGAGCAAAACAGATCTGTGGGAAATTCCCTTTGTTTCATATGTTTTTTACAGATAAATCCTCCTTTTTGAACTGAAACTCACCAGTGCCCAGCCTGAAAGCAGAATTCAGTTCACCTGGATTCTATCTTTAGGGAAAGAGCTCCATGGAAAAGAAGATATGCTTTTATGTCAAAGGTCTCAAGAAGATCCCTGACCAAGATCCCAAGAGAGAGCAGCTTGGCATATGACTTGCATGCAAAAAAGACCTCTGCTTGTAACTCCAGAGGAGAGGACACTACAATAACTATTAATCTGGTTGCAAAGATAGCTTTTCCCTTCTCACCATGAGCCACCTCATGGGTCCATCCGTGGTACAGCCATGCAGAGACTTGGACTCCAAGGGCCAAAGGTGATTTGGAGCATCTTTAGGCACTCCTGTCAGCTAGTACCGCCCGCCTTCCTTCCTGCCTTCCTGCCTTTCTGCCTTCCTGCCTTCCTGCCTTCCTCCCTCCCTCCCTCCCTCACGTCTTTCACCCTTCCTTCCTTGCTTCCTTGCTTCCTTGCTTCCTTGCTTCCTTGCTTCCTCCCTCCCTCCCTCCCTCACGTCTTTCACCCTTCCTTCCTTGCTTCCTTGCTTCCTTCCTTCCTTTCTTGGGATTATGTGACTGCCAAAGATGACTGAGCTTGGACTGATGAGTTGCCATCGGATGCCACCTGGGCTCCAAAGCACCTTTTGCCCTTGGAATCTAGACGGCCCTAATCTGCAGCAACTCTGGCTTTGCTACAAAAGGAAGCACCTGGCACAGGGCTTGGGACATTACCCCTGAGGCAAAGTAGGTGACCCAACAACTCCCTCCACTCTCCCCTAATTCTGTTGAATTTGGGTATGGATTTTGATTCCAGTTGTTTTTGGAAACCAGTCTGGACTGAGAAGCAGGGAGCAAAAAATTGAATTGGATCATTTTATTTTACTGAACTTGTAAGGCTGCCTAATCATCAAATGACTCAAGGCAGCATTCAGGACAAGTTAAAAACATAGCATAGCAGTAAAGGAAGAACCAAACAGCGAACAACTACGGTTGTTAATATTGCAAAGCAGTGATGTATGATCTCTAACAAATTGTATTATCCCAAAGTGCAGTACAAAAACAATTGTTTCAGGTTACAGGAAACTGTTTTTTTAATGGAGCATTAGCAAAAACTTCCCCAGGGTAAGAGGACTTCAACAGAGAAGCCAGTTTGGTGGGGTGTTTTTCTTCACTGGGTGTGTTCAAGCAAAAGCTTGGCTGTCATCTCTCATGGATGCTTTAATGCTCAAAGGTCCTTTCCAGCCAAAAAATTCTGTGATCAAGGTCAAATAAAACCTTTGTCAAAATTTTCTCAGGAAAGCAAGAAGACACACTTCTGTGTTCTTGCTCTGTGGGCTAATTTAAGCAATCAAGTACTAAAGCTTTTTCCAGGTGGTATAACGTCAGAGAAATGGCATCTCTTGGTACTTAGAGAGACAATACAGGTGGTCCTTGACTTATGACCATTCCTTTAGTGACTGTTCAAAGTTACAATGGTGCTGAAAAAAGTTACTTATGACTGGTCCTCACACTTACGAACATCACAGCATCCCCAGTCATGTGATCAAAATTCGGGCGCTTGGCAACTAGCATGTATTTATGATGGTTGCAAAGTCCCAGATCACATGATTGCCATTTGCAACCTTGCCAGCCGGCTTCCAACAAGTAAAATCAATGGGAAACTTTGTGATTCACTTAATGACTATGTGATTCGCTTAATGACTATGTGATTTACTTAACCACCACAAAAAGTCATAAAATCAGGTGCGATCATGTGATGCCTCACTTAATGACCGCATCACTTAAAGATGAATTTTCTGATCTCTATTGTGGTCATAAGTCGAGGACTACCTGTAAAGGTACATGGAAAACCAGCACATTAAGAAAGGTTTAGCCTGGCTTGCTGTTTTATTTTCTTGTTACTCTATTCCTTACTACGCTGCTCTGTAAAAAGAAATCTACCACTTTGCAAAGAAGCATTTGTACATGCAAAAATAGTACAGTTCACTGCAAGAAAGAAAGTTATTACCAGTTTAATTGATACAATGGGATGATTGCATAATAAAAATAAAGACACACACTTACCCTCGTGTAATGCATATCTGTACTAAAAACATGCATAGCAAAACAATGCTAGCACAGACAAAATAGCCTCTGAGTTTGGGAATAGGGATCGTGCGATACTGGAGAAAAGAGAAACAGAGGAGAAAAGATTTTGATAGATTCATAAAAGACAAGCTTTTGGAGTGACTTTGTCGTGGAGGAGAAAAATTATAAACAGAATGAGCCCTAGCCTATAGGTTCTTTGCCATATACACACAATCCTATCAACTAAAGAGGCAGCAGATTCCTTCAAAAAAGATAAATAACTAATATTCAGAGGAATACTGAAAATACCCTTTTCCAGGGGAACTGACTGAAGCTAAATGAATGGAAGATTTTGTCTCGACCTTAAAATTCTGTAAACAGGAAACCACAAGAGTACGTTTTGAATTCTGATTTGTTAAGGTTAGCTTCCTTTTCAAACAGTAAACCCAGAAAATAATGGTTTTTGAGCTCTGAAAGATTATACTCTCTTAAACATTCCTCCAATGTCTTACTAACCTCTTTTTCAAGTCCTGTTTCTACAAAACAGAGCAGAAACCCACACAGTCCACGGAAATCATCTTTTTGACCACACCATGGTCTGCATGAAGAAAAAGAAGGGGGAAAAAAAACTGTTGAAATCATGCCCAGGAAAGGGATATACAATTCTGTAAAAAGCACAAAGTATGAAATTCTAGTTATTCTAAGTAAAGGATTCGTTTGTCAGAAGATCAGACTATTAAAACAAGACAGAAGTATTGAAATTCAAATAAAACAAAGGAAAACAAAATGTAGAGCAATCAAAATGCAGGAAAGATATAAAACTATACTTTGTGTTTTACTACCGTCAATCAAAACTGGATAAAAGGTAGAATATAAGTGTCCTAAATGATTAAGTTAGTTCTGAATGAAGATTTCAGTGGTGGCTCATTACAGACATGAGATGTATTTCTTAGAATTATTTCGTCTCTATGGCTTCTCTCTGTTTGCTGCATTATTTCTGAAGATGAGACTTTATTTTGCTGTTAAGTGCTCTTAAAAGCCTGTAACACTAAACCTTCTAATTAACGTCTAGTGCAGAGAGAATCTTTGATGAAAAGTTGAAAGCAATTTAGAATTCCAGAAATGAACTGCAATATTAAGAGCAACAGGCTGTCCTTTAAACAGGGGTGGTTCACATCTCTGTTGTTTCGCAGCCATCTAAAATCTAAATCTAAAATCTAGAATCTAAAAGAATAAAAACTATGCTAAGCTACAGGGCGTCCAAGAATCCAGAATCAAGAAGTTCTTTGAGATGTTTCCTTTTGCAGAAACTGAAGATGTAGCAGAAAAACCAGCCACAGACAGCCCACACAAGCACAGGACATGAAGAGATGAAATTTCGGTGCAAGATCACACCCTCTTATTATAGAAAAGAAACAGAAAAGAAATCTCGTCTCCTGCTCCTTTCTGTAAGAAGACTGGTTCTGCTTTCTTACTTGGCTGAACTCAAGCCCTCAATGGTGGACATCATTTTATCATTGATATCTTCTTCCATTCTTCCTTTCTGAGAGGTATTTCTAAGAGAAAAAAGAAAAAGGTCACCATTAAAAAGGATCCCTTCCAAACATGCAGAGAAAGGACTAGGATGGGAGGTGAACATCCAACATAACTGGAGGCCCACCTCCCACACTGGAGAATGGAAATGTAAACCCTTGTGGGATTGGCCACAAGAATAATCAGAATGAGAAATTAGACAGAATTGTGAAGAGACGGAGATTTAGCCTGAATTGAATGGAAGATGCTCGTTCATGTTCCAAATATTATGCACGGCTGGAAATATTACTGAACAGATTTATCATAACATGCATTTCTGGGGGCTTTGAACTAGAGCAGGAAATTTCTCTGGCTGGATTTACACATATCCTAATTCATAATGCAGCTGGTTTGGTGATGGTTAAGCAGGACATGTGAGGTCAGTTACAGTAGTTCATAAACCATGGTGTATGGCTTAGCTTGCTGCATGTAAATCCAGCCACTGTTATCTTTTTTAGCTGCCAGAGGGATATCAGTTGGCTTTAGAGGGAGATGAAATGAGAAATTCATGAGAAATTCAGGAAAATTATCAGTGGTGCTAGGGTCCACAGGAAAAAAAAAATCACTGAAAGAACAAGGGGAAGAAGAACTCACTTATAGTTTAGAACAGAAGGAGGATATAACTGGTCTTGTCTAGATCCATCCAAACTAACACATACACAGAGAAAGAGAAAGAGAAAGAGAAAGAAAATTTTGATGGAACACAGTAGGTCCAGGCCAATAATTAACAAATCAAGTAAAACACAGCCCCCCCAAAATTATAGCCACAGCAATCCCCCTCGGATCGTTGCACCCTCCCAAGAGAGCCTGAAACTGTTTTGAAAAATAAGTTTTGTGTCACTTCTTTAAAAAAAGTCTGAGGGAGCCAATTTGAAAGTGTAAGAACCAATTCAAATATAACTAGCTTGGGCTGTTCAGAAGCAATAACCATGAGCCCGCAAAGGGTAACATTACCTGTCCATGTTTCAGTCTGACAACACCCAGTAGATAAAACTCTACATTTGGTATCAGCAGAAGTGCAATTTCTAGGCACAGCAAAAAAGAAATTCAACACTTCCTACCTTTGGGGCCCCATGAACAGGGCTAAAAGTCACTGGAGTTTACAAAATGGTAGCAATGTTGGGTGGAAGCAGAGCCCTGAATCATGATAACTGACAGAAATACAATTTGTAAGAAAAACAAAGATGAGCTTTGCTTGCAAAATTACCTTATTTGGGACCATTGGTACTCCATTAACAAGAAGTTCTGGTTTTGTTTTGTTTTTCATTGATTATGGACTTTTGGAACAAAAATGGCAAGATAGAATACAGCCGTACATTTTTGGTATGTTACAATTATTGATTAGGTTTTTATTATTTGTTTGTATTCTCTCCATAGATTTATTTTTATACACTTATGGTTTTTTTTTTTTTTTTAAAAAGGACTGTATGAGAAATACTGGGTTAGTCACATTCAATAATCCATGTTTTGTCTAATTCTGAAAGAAAGGGCAGAAGGTAGAGGGAAATTTCAGGGAGAAAATGTGTAATGCTGTGTTTCCTTATTATTCAACTTCCTCTCTGCAATCATGACATTATGCTTGTTTGTGGATGGAGGCGAGAGGAGGGGTGGGGATGAGAAATCAGCTTAAGTGCTGGGGGGCACACATCCAAACACAAAATTCCCAAGCCATAACTGCAAATTAAGGCTCTGTTTTCATCAAGTCAAGAATTTCCTTTCCAGCAATTAGCTGATTCTGTTTACTACAGTTAAAAACCACGTGGCCCAGGAATTTAAGGAGTCATAGTCCCAACATCTCTGAAAAACACCAGATTGGAGAAAGATGGTCTAATTGTGAGAAAAATGAATCTTTGGGTGAAAAAGACAAGTTTTTAGAGGCCTCAGATGAATGGGATCGCCTTAATAAGACTGAAAAATAAGGGGAGGCGGAAGCACCCTTGAAGCTGATGTGAACCAGGCCGGTTGTAAACTCCTTATCACAAACATC